AAGCTGCCTACCAATGCGATGCATAAACATTAGATGCATATCGAGAACATAAGTTACTACCATTGAGTGTAAGACTCCAAAGTTATGTGGATGATAGCGTTGAGAACCGTTGCCAGAGTTGGGGTAGTCGAAAACATGCGAATATCAGCGTGCAGGAGGTTCGCTCGACAGCTTGAACTGCTGCTTTGTGTGCATGTGCGTATGATCATACCGCCAATTTACTTAGCAGACTGCAAGATTTTCGAGGTACGAGAAGCTGATGAGTAGATCGAAGATATCTCCAATGCGATAATTGTATAGCCACGGAAATAATAATAGATAACAAGTGTCATTGAGCCGTTGTTCAAGTAGGAAAGTCGTTCGTGTTATCGAAAGCAGTAAAATAATTCCGCGAGTTGCGATTCGATACAATATTCGTAATATGATTCCGTAAGCGATTAAGTTACCGTCATAATATAATATCATCATGAATCAGAATAATAGTTCTTTCACATTGATACGATAATGGCATCGATAATTGGATAATTCGAGAAATAGATTCATGCAACAAGTTGATACATAATAGAAATGATAATAAGATGACCATGCCAACAGAATTAACTAAATGATTGAAGCAACCAACACTCTCTTTGTAATAGTATAGTTTGAATGGAAGAAAAGATCTGCTCTGTATGTCGATAGTGATGCTATCAATGTTGGATTATCGGGAACTACTGATTCATGCTAACGAATGTCTAGTCTGCTTGAAAAAAAATAATTACAGTAACCCATTGAATAAAAGTAAAGGCGAGTTTATGATTGTTATTATTAGTAGTACTGTGGTGCGCGCTACTTATAAGTAGTGTATGACGTGAGTGTAAACGTAATGTCTGGCAGCAGAAGATGGGGGAAGATCAAGAAAGGGAAGAGTGGGAACACAATGGAATTTGTATGAAACGCATGAACAGTGATGAAATGTCAGACAATGGATTGATGATGTATTGAAGATTTGCAAATTAACCGTTTACGATATGATTTTCCTATTTTACTGAGTAATTCTGTAATTTTCGTTAAATACAATTCGGTTGCTCTCACCTGTGTTCTCCTTCATTACAGTACTACTAGCACTAAGGATTGAGAGTCCTATTGATGAAAATTTTACAGTGTGGTTAGAAATATTTAGAAAAAAAATCAGTGATTAGTTAATTTTTGTATTTCAAAATTTTAATTGCCTGTAATCTGATTAATTAAAATCAACCTAGAAAGAAATTCTCTTAGTTATATATAATTGCAACTGAAAAGGTAGAAATGCACATCAATTCAAGAGTCATTCATATGAGATAGTACTACTGGTTATGAGCGAGGTGGCGATATTGTGATATAAAAGTGAAATTAATCTTCTTATCAATCACATAGAAAAAATGGAACGCAATTTGTCTAGTTATATGAATTGAAGTTGTGAATAATCATGACAGAAGGAAGATTACACACAGGACCACTGAGCACTGATCGATTCATGGTTTCAGCAATGTGTAACTTAACAGTCTTCACAACCCCGTAATGAAAATTACCTGTGCTCATTAGTGGCTAGCTTCGTGAGAAATCTTCACCGAGTTCTAGTAGCAAGACGTGACCAGTGAAGTTCAGCCTGTTCGGGTGTATACAGTTACTACCGAAGACTGTGTATGAGGTTACGCAACTCCGTGAATTGATCAAGTTAGACATCAACACCTTTAGATACCGGCTCAGTGGTCCTGTGATTGGGCGTTCGTGCACAATACCGAGGGTCCCGGGTTCGAATCCTGCGGGGTGCATGAGTCATGGATGCGCACTGCTAAAGAGTCCCATGCCAGCACGAAACGGCCGTCCAGTGCTTCCAGGTTTCTAATGGTGGTCAAACTATGATTGATCGATTCATGGTTCCAAAAATGTGTAACTTAACAATCTTCACAACCCCGTAATGTTAATGAATACTTGTATCTTTTGGATGATGGCCTTCGTGATTCTCCAAGTTTCCTCTCCACACAGTAGGACTATCTTGACATTTGTATCAGAAATGTTAACTATAAACTTATAACGAGTTTAACATAGCAGAATTAATAAAAGTTTACAATTACGTAAATTAATAATCATTTCACGGTAACACACCAAAGACATCATCCACAAGATACAAGTGTTTATGAACAGTTGTCTACGCAAAATACTTCGTATTCGTTGGCCAGACACCATCAGCAACAACGTACTGTGGGAGAAAACAAATCAGATTACAGTGGAGGAGGAAATCAGGAAGAAGCGATGGAAGTGGATAGGACACACATTGCGGAAAGCACCTAACTGCGTCACGAGACAAGCCCTCACATGGAACCCTCAAGGCAAAAGGAAAAGAGGAAGGCCAAGGAACACACTACGCCGAGAAATAGAGAAAGATATGAGAGGAATGAACAAACATTGGACAGAACTGGAGAGAGAAGCCCAGGACAGAGTTGGTTGGAGAAAACTGGTGGGCGGCCTATGCTCCATTGGGTGGGTAACAGGCGTAAGTAAGTAAGTAAGTTCACGGTAGCACGAAAAATAACATTTATTTAGAAGTTAGTTTTGCAAATATTAATGTTTAATATGATAGATAGCCTGTGTATCACTTCAAAAAAAGTGTTAACAATCACCGAAATTCGATTATGAGGATTATGGAAATTATTAAGCTTCACTGAAATAATGAACCGTCCACTGTTAGATTACTAATGACAATTTAGGAGCACTGGACTGCTGTTCTTGGAGTTCTAGTGCGAAGCTGTGACCAATGGAGGCAGTTATTCGAAAAAGGCTATAGGAAATAGTCACTCATTGTTATAGATTGTTTGAAGTTAAGTATTAACATTGTTGGCTTCCGAACCAGTGAGCTGGAGATTAAGCGTCCTACTGTGAGACTGAAGGAAATCAATAAATGATGAAGTCAACTTATTTAAAGAAAACGAATATAATGAGATACAGTAATGAATTTATTTTAACTGCTAGTGAATTAAACACTTGTCTATATTAGTAGATCTTTTCATTTCCGTCAAAACTTAGATATTCGTCTAATTTGATGAGCAATAATTGTATACAACAGTTCTGAATCAAAGAATCGAACCTGGGATTTTAGTTTTCGCGCGATAACGCTTGACCTCTAGACCACTGAGGCAGTATCCAAGAGTGTTAATATCTGACCCTGATTAATCTGGAGATTTTGGCGTGACCTGACCCATTTGTCTTTGGCAGTGACTGCGTACGCTCGACAGGGTTGAACTCCATAGATCGCGTTTTCTCACTAGGATTTCATGAATTTCCTTATGAAGCTAGTCAATAGTGAACATATTTTACGATTTCTCATTATAGATTGATGAGCTCAGTAATAAACAACAATCTCCATACCTCTATAATGAACAATTCATCTGTTATTTATTTACTGTGGCATTTAATACTTGCTAACTAACTAAAGTTAATGATTGTTAGTAAGCGTTTAAATTATCCTACTAACTTATTTTCTCCGTTTATCTATGTGTGTATCTGTCAATATAGCCGTTTCGTCACAAGTTTCATTTGAAAAGATGAATTACGGCTAGCAGTGGAATCTAGGATGTATTTAATACCCTCATTTCAGCTTGCCAACTAGATCAATCCTCATATACCAGTATTGATAATCACACCACTAATCAAACGTAATAACCTTCACATGTCATTAGAAAACTTTATTGAAAGTGTTCAGATATTTTTTATTGCAAAGCTGTTCATTTATTGTCTGAATAATTATTCCACGATGACTTTCATCATATTCAGGGATTAAATGAACAAAAACTAAAAAATGGAGTGGGTTTGGAATTCAATAGATGCCTGGTTTAACTTATTTTATACTTGACATCAAGAACTGATTTCGGCTAGACAATTATTGCAGATAAAAAAGGGCAGTGGACAACATTGAAATTCTGGTATGGGATCTCTGAGTAGAATTCATCCACAATCTCACTGGACGGACTCTGTGTCACTTCTAAATCAGCAGTGTATACTTATGACCATATACGATATCAAAGTTTGGATTCTGAAATCTCACGAAGAGAAAAATGCTTCCGAAGAGAAACAAATGTGTTCATGTTCAACCTCACAGTGATTGCAAGTAGATGATAATCGCTTGGCATACGGTACGCTTAAGTTTACTAACCTAGGTTTTCCCAAAGAACATTAAAAAATACAGTGAAACCATTTACATTTTATATAATAAATATATTTACAAAAATGCGTAACACAAGATTATTCATCTATGGCGTGCAATAACTGTTTCTGATCATAATTGATGTAGATAATCTACTAATAAGTAGTATATAAATAACGTTCAAAATGACATTAGAATTCATTATTAAAAAGCTATTGTCATTCATAAACAACTTGTTAATAGCGCTATAAACAGGTGTTAGAAGACCAATATTTTTATAATGTTACATATTTTAGATAAAGAACTCATTGCGTTAGGTAAAGATCTTGTTTACATTACAACAACTAACTGTGGAGTAGAACAAATCAGATTCTAGCTGTGGAAGAAATTAATAAGAAACTCTGAAGGTGTATAGGATACACACTGAGTAAAGCACCCAACTGCATAACGAGGCAACCCCTAATTTGGAATTCTCAAAGCCAACATAAGAAAGGTAGACCAAAGAACACATTATGCTGAGAATCGGAAACAGGCATGAGGAGAATGAACAGTAATCGTGTTGAACTGGAAAAGGTGGCCCTGGAGATAGTACGTTGGAGAATCTTTGTCAGCAGTCTATTCTCCTCGAGGGATAACAGGAGAAAGTAGATAATTCATAAGTTATAAAAACAGAGTATATATATATATATATATATATTTATATATTTGTACAAATGAAAATGTAAATAGGTTTGTTCTTACACAGTAAACCAATTGAGAACTAAACATGATGTCTGTCGAAAGTTTCTCATTTCAAGTGATAATTTAATATAAATAATGAATGAATCCAAATAAAAATTTACATTATCATTGTATTTGGTTCATAATGTTCACTGTCAATCAATGAACCACCCATATTAGTAACACCGGAATCAGTTTGTCGAAAACTTCCATTGGTTGGACTACCATGTTTTGACATATTATTACTTATATGTAATAAATCTGGTGAGTAATAATCTACTGAAATATTACTTATATTATTGACAGTAGTATTATTGTTACTATTATTAAATATCATCAATTGACGTGTATGTTCTTGTTGTGGTGATCCATGTGGTGTAGAATAAATGGATGAATCACCGCCAAGCATGTAGACTAAATGTTTCGGTGGTGGAGGTAATGGAGGCGGTGAATTATTATTCCTTAGTTGTGAATTTCGTTCAGTACGAATCGATTGCATAGTTGGTGTTGTCATTAATTTTGATGTCGATTGGATTGATATGGGTAGATTAGACAAATGTAGACTTGTATTATTACCAGTTACTGGTAACTTTTTATGTTGTAATCGACATGGATGACGTGATCTTGGTGAATATGTTAAACTAGCCATGCTTGTTTTTGGTTCTACATATGAATTGATGGAATATTTCATTAGGTTACTGTTACACTGTTGATGCGGTTGAGGATGTTGTTGATGAGAATTCAAAGGATCATAATTTATCATTTCCGGTATACGTTGTAACAATGGCGACGGTAATGCAGATGGTGTAGAACGATGTGTTTTATGCTGTTGATTCAATCTATAACTAGTTTGTTTCAATCGAAACTTTGGTGATAATAACACATCAGAGATTGTATGAGAAATAGGTAATGGTGAGATATTTTTACTTGTTTGTCCACTGTCAGTTGGTGTTTTTATTGGATAGGCGTATAGTTTTTTTCTATCGCCATTGTCAACATCCATATTGTTCGGATCATGATTACTGTTGTCATCGACACCATCAACATCTACACCATCAACATCAGCATCATGAGCATCACTATCTCCATCTTCATCATTGTGTCCTGGTTGATTGCTTCGTTCACAATGAATTAAATGTTCATTGATTTGACTTTCATTCACATTGTGCATATGTTGACATTTAACAATATGATAATTTTGCTTATTCATACTAATTAACTTTAACCAATGATGTTCACCAGTTTCAAATGATTCATTTCTTGTCAACAAATGATTTGTTTCACATAAACGTACCGACAGAATAATCAGTTGTGTTAAAAAATCCCCAAATAAATAATTTAATTCAATCAATAACCAATTTTGACGTGTTGGCCAAAATAGCTCCGCTGATGATGTCAACGATGACGCTGACGATGTCGATGATGATGTCGATGAAGTTGCGACTGGTGTTTTTCCGGAATAATTATTAATCAATAAACATTCTAAACGATTAATTGAATTCGTCATTAAATGTGGTATGGAACAACACAATTGAATTGTACCCAAAATTAAAATCAATACACAGTCTTGTAGTAAATACATCAGGCAATATTTCACAATATTTACATATAATTTAAAATATTTCATATCAGATTTATTCCATCGTAAATGATGCCAAATAATAATATGTTTTAATTCACATTTCATTTTTAATAAACGTATTACTAATAACAGCAAACATACAATCATTGTACAACATGGTATAACAAAACTAATCGCTGCAAAACAATATTCATATAGAGTTTGACCAGTTTTATTTAGTAGACGCCATGCTGGATAAAGTTTTTCATGTGTCATTTGTTGAGTACTAGTACTAGTACTACTACTACTAGTAGTAGTAGTATGTATATTATTATTAAATAATTTAATTTTTAAATTAATTCCAATCAGCTGATATGACCATACTTGTGGTAAACAAATTGCTAAGGAACATGTAATTAATGCACTTGTCATTAAAATTAATCGTCCAATTGAAGTGTAATTTGTGAATTTATTCTTTGTCTTCCTCTTCACCTTCTCATGTTGCATCATCAAATAGAAATTTTCATCTGATTGTTGTTGTTTGGCATTCTTCAATGGATTAGTAGTAGTAGTAGTAGTAGTACATAAATTTTTAGGATATAAATAATTTGGTGCACACATAAAACAGGCATATTCTTCTGTCCAATTATAATTGATTTGTTTACAAATTGAACATTTTTGTTGTATTGAACATAATTTGGCGCCAAATTTCAATAGGCATTGAAACATTGAATTCGGTTGGGTATTATTGTCGGAGTTCAATAATTTGTTATTACTCGTATTATCTAGAGTGTTTAAACAATGATTTTCATTGAAATTCTCTTTTACTATTGTAAATAAATAATTAATATAATATCCAAATGATTTTTTAAATGGATTCACATGTAATTCACTCAGTATATGTATACGATCAATCATTAAACCAATAGTTAACCAACATAATGTTAAACGTAACACAATTTGCATAGTTAACATCGCTGGCAATTGTGTAATAAATTTCGGTGTATGATTATAGTACTGTGATGATATATCCATATGAGTAGAAAGTGTTGCATTCATGTTGATTTCATTCAATAATGTTGTTGTATAATGTCCCGTTGACATTGGTATATAACGTGGTAATGTGACTAACCATATTAATGAAGCATTTATACCAGTTAATACATAGAATACAATTAAATATTGTGATAAACGTTGTATATAAGGACGTGGAAATAATCTATACTTTGGACATGTATAATGTTTTGATTCAATGAAGATATTGACAATAGCGAATAGAATTGTAGCAGCTGGTAATAATGGTAAACTGAAATAAAAGATAATTTGTAAAATTTGTTGTGTTCTATTATTATTATTGTGATTATGATTATTGTGATAATCTGTGGTGTTGTGTTCATTGAATCCTCCTTCCATGGAATTTGTCAGTTGATAATCTTTAGAATGAATCACTGATGTAAAGTACAACTGATTAATTGCTTCATTTAAATTAATTGGTCGAACTGGTTTCAATAACCAATCTTGTATTAACAGACCAGAATTTGTAAATGTCCAATACATACAACTTGGTAAAGTTGCCATCGGTGGTTAATTTTGTGTTGAATTTAAATTGATGATTTTGGGTGATTTCTTCTAGGTTTTGATCAAAGCAATTTCATTTTTTCAGTAGTGTTAAAAGTGAAATAACAAAAATGGTGTTTTTTTTACATGTAACTCTACAGGTGTAGGCATTATTAGTTCATTTTCAAAGGTATAGTAATGTTGAATTTTATTTAACCAATCAGAATTGAGTATAATTCATTTTTTTTTATTAATTAATTACAAATATGATTGGATATTGCTACCTGATTGCTGATTGGACAATAAATGAACAAGTAAAAGTCTTGTCCCTTTTTTAATAAGCAGTAATCTGAACAAATGATTTTTTTAGATAATTAAATTAAGACAATTAAAGTTACGTCATAGTTTAACAAAGTTGTGTTTATTTCAGTTGGTGAAATCCAAGATAACCGTTTCAATATAGTATTGTAGACTCACTGATAGTTGCATCGTAGAATTGATGGTTTAACTATGAGTCAAACCTACCTACATTATTAAAATCTAGTTGATTCAGGATTTTAACATTGTTTTAGTCAAGTGTGTTGTCTGTAATTGTAGTTTGATTTGTAGTCTCTGTTTATATTATACAAAGAGGTTATCTAAACTGTTTGATATAATACTGCTTGTATTTGACGCAAGTTATTACGTAAGACTTTATGCCGTTGTCTTCTCTTTCTATTGAGAAATGATATGATGAGGAAAACTATTATTTTATGCATACATTAACTTTGTAATTAGTGAATGATTCGTTTTATTATTGATCAGAAGGAAATATGAAATAATGTTTAAATTACTAACTTCTTAATAAAATAAGCTGTTTATCACGTTGACTTTTTGACAAATGCTAACATACTAAAAATAACTAATTCAGACAGTAGGAAGCTGTTGTATGCGAGAATCATTATGAGATTTTTAGAAAAGATGAATCAAATGTCTTGTTTGACTGAATGTACACCAGTTTCAAAAATCACTGGGAAACAATTCAATCGTTCATTTTTAACCAGTACTCATGGTCCATTATGAATTGATATTAACTGAACTTACTTACTTAAGCCTGTTACCCCCCTAATGGAGCATAGGCAACAGACCAGTTTTCTCCCAACCAACTCTGTCCTCAGCTTCGCTTTCCAGTTCTGTCCAATTTTTGTTCATTCCTCTTATATCTTTCTCTATTTCTCAGTGTAATATGTTCCTTGGCCTTCCTCTTTTCCTTTTGTCTTGAGGGTTTCATGTGAGGGCTTGTCAAGTGACGCTGTTAGGTGCTTTCCTCAATGTGTGTCCTATCCACTTCCAACGCTTCTTCCTGATTTCCTACTCCACTGGAATCTAGTTTGTTCTCTCCCATAGTAAGTTGTTGCTGATGTTGTCTGTCCAACAAATACGAAGTATTTTGCCTAGACAACTGTTCATAAATACTTGTATCTTCTGGATGATGATGGCTTTCGTAGTTTTCCAAGTTTCCGTTCCATACAGTAGAACTGTCTTGACATTTGTATTGAAAATCCTGATTTTTTTGTCGATTGATATTTGTTTGGAGTTCCAGATATTAACTGAAGGCAACCTAAAAAGTAGGAGTTATGTGTAATGGGTAATCGAATTTCCGTCTGTTATTGTACTCTAGAATTTTTATGTATTGATTTGACATGTGCATATGTTTGGATGGTTAAGAATTTTGACATGCTCATCAACTGATATGCTTGTGTGCTATTACGAGTTCACGTTACTCCGTAAACGGAGCTCAGATCAATAATGCAGTGACACAATAGGCTATTCTAATCCGTTGTCCCAACCTTGGCTAACTAAATCAAGAAGTCTTAAAAAAAAGTACAAAATGTATTCTACATGCACCCAGAGAGTACGAGGTCGCTAAGCACACAAATCGAGCTTATTTATACAATGATGAAAACGCCCTTGGGAGAGCCACAAAATAGTCTACTAAAATAATCCATGAACCAATGACAGTCAAGGACTTTCCGAGTGGGAAATGTATACTCAAGGTCAACTTAGCGACTTATGCGTGTAAAGAATCCAAAATTAGGACACTTTCCAAGTGAGTTCTTGGGACCTGACGTCCCTAACAAATTTTTAAAAATCAATGTCAGAATTTTATCTAAGTCGATTTCGAATTCCGAAATGGTATGTAATCTGAAAGAAATTTTAGCCTATTTCTAAAATAGTACAGTTGATAAATCCTAAATAGTTTGGCCTAGTAAAAAATCAAGATAAAACAAAGTTTAGTCATGTTGAGAAATAAGAAAGTTTTTACCAAGGTCATAGTATAATTGTTGATTAATTAATGACACTTATCTAGAGTTTAATTTGGATTTTATGTTTTAAAGTTTGTACGCTCAGTAAATGGTTTACAGGTCATAGATTCAATGTCAAGAGTTTTTTGAGCAGTTTCAAACTAGAGAATCAGTCAATGTTTTCACATGATTCCACAAATCATAATGAATAGAAGTTATTTTGTGTCATTCACTTAACAGTAACTCGGATAATCAATAGCCTTACAGGGGCTACTGCCGGTCCCAAGCCCGGATAAAAAAGGAGGGTTGGGTGTGAGGTTTGCGACCTCATCCCATAGAAAACTAACTCGATAAAAAAATGCTAGCCAGAAAAATGATTCAGACCATTTTCACTTTGCTCTTGGAGTTATAAGGTCTCCATTCAGTACAGTTATGACTTCTCATGATGAAAGCCGAGTTCCTTTGGGAGTCATGAGGCCGATGACCCTTCTGACAACCACAGCAACCATTCTTTTAGGTACATGAAATGTTCAAACAATATGGAAGACCGAAAGACTATTCCAAATTGCTGCAGAGATGAAAAGATTCAACCGAGAGGTGCTTGGAATCAGTGAAACGCATTGGACGCAGCTTGGGCAACTGAGACTAGCGTCATGGGAGCCAGAGCTCCGGGCCGAAGACAGAGTAGGTTAGAGAATACATGTCGGCGGCCTATGCTTCATTGGGGGTTACAAACATAAGAAAGTAAGTTACAGGATGCTCATCTATTGTTCATCAGTCATTAAGTTTGAAACAATTGAAGGATAACGTGATAGGAACACTGAGTGAATTGATTATGTATTAATAGATTAATTTTAAATTGTTTCATAATTAATGTCAGAAATGTTTGAATGGTTCATTTATTGTTATTGAATATTATCGATCAAAACACTCTGAGAAATATTTACGCGTTTATTTGTGTAATATTGTGTTAACATGTGAAGACTGAACTTATGAATCGATCATTGTAACACCATCATTAGAGATATAGAACCACTGGATGGCCGATTTGTCCTTGTATGGTACTCATCAGATTGTGTATCCACGAAGCCCGCTGGCAAGAATCGAACCCAGGACCTTCGTCCTTGTGTACGAACACATCACATATTGATTGTGGAACCGGCATTCAACGTCTAACTTCAGTCAAACCGAGGTATTGCACAACCTTACCTATTGTAGTTTTTGCTTACAAAGATCGATTCATCATTTCAATGAAACCCAATCATCTGCATCATTCTATTGTGAAAAATCTAAAGATTGTTGTAAGTTACAAATATATATATATATATATATATATATACATTTGTTTTTCACAAAATAAAGTTTTCATTTTATTCCCTTAAGGATAACTACGTCACACCAAAAAAAACCGTAATTAGTTGTTCACACTTTTTTTTAAAAAGAAATATAATTCAGTCATTAAATATCAAAGAAATAGCATACTACTTATTATCCTCTCTCTAATAGTAGTCACATGCATATAGATTAGAATACACGATTAGCTTGTTATATTTATATGTATATGAATGACAAGTTTGCGTGCGTAACAAATTTAAAAATGTCTTCAATATGTACATATATACATATATATTTCTCTTCATAGAAGGGATACATTTTGACGGGTTCTGTTCTACTATTTTTAGTAAGTTTAAAGAAAACGGAACAAAACGGAATTCATCTTTTAGAGATGATTATTTTAGTCAAGTTACAACACATTGAAGTTAGTCATCATGTATAAATTAGATAGTACAGTAAGTATGTGTTAATGCATCTTGGCAAGTGTATACTTACATGGCTATCGATGTCTAATCTATGAATACAGATAACATAAACATGTTACTCAAAAATGGAGGGGGGACAGAGTTCTTACGTTCTTTCTTCCTTGCCACAACAACACTATGGGGAAAACCAAAAGAAGTATTGACATATCTGTGGATAGTTATGAAAAGAGTGTTAATGAAAGGAAATGGAAAATGTTTAGCAGCAGTCATCAGTGTGTTTGTATATATATACATGTATATGAGTTATGCATGCCTCATTGTTACTACATATACACTGTTGTGTTTAGTTATGCCTTTATTAACAATCCTGTAAAGTGACTGTGAGATCTAATCACTTTTCAACGTGAGAAAAAGAGAGAGACAGTGTAGATTGAAATTTTCACACTTCATTGCAATGTTTATATTATCGTTACTAATCGGAATAAATAAATTACTGGGACATCTTCAAAAAAACATGAATGCGTTAGTAAGACCAATAAAAAAAAATACTGTTCTTCATACTAAATTTCCAACTTACTTATAGATAATCTTTGTTAAGAAGACAAAAAAGCTGATAGTGAGTGCTATTTCACTAGGGAATATAAATGTTGCATTTGTTTGGCTTGCTGAAAAAAAAGTCAATTTGAATATTGAAATGGTACATGATCAGAAGAAAAGGAATAAAAGTATTTTTCATTCCTATTTGATGTTTCAAAACTCTTTTTTTTTGTGTGATAGATTGTGAATGGATTTTCTGTTACAAAATGCAGTAGGAATGTAGTGAAGGAGAACACAGGTGAGAGCAACCGAATTGTATTTAACGGAAATTACAGAGTTACTCAGTAAAAAATAGGAAAACCATATCGTAAATGGTTAATTTGCAAATCTTCAATCCATCATCAATCCATTGTCTGACATTTCACCACTGTTCATGCGTTTCATACAAATTCCATTGTGTTCCCACTCTTCTTCCTTTCTTGATCTTCCCCCATCTTCTGCTGCCAGACATTACGTTTACACTCACGTCATATACTACTTATAAGTAG